AAAAAAAAAAAAGAAAAAGAAAAATTCCAAAAACTCCTAAAAGACCCGAATGGAAGTTCTACATTGACATGCGCATTTTTTGAGACTGAAATTAGGTAAGAAGATTTAAATTTGATCCAAAATGATTCAATTAAATCCACCTCCCTGTCATGTAATCATTCAAGTAGATTATTTTGAACACTTGAAAAATCAAAGGGATTAAATATTAATTGTTCTTATATGCTGAATTTTCCCACTGTTTATAAACTTTACTCGTTTCAAATGGTTGAATGCTCACTTCATGACCATTCTTAGCTACTGTATTAGTAGTGTCTTTGACCATTTTATAGATAGGAGTGTTTGGTTTTTTTTTTTTTTTTTTTTGAACAAGTTTTACAAGGGTCGAACCCAGCCCAGGAAAAGGGAAAGTGCACTGTGAGTGGTTATTGCCACTTGAGATAAAGGGCTCGGTGATAGGAGTGTTTGTTTTGATTTGTAATAAATAATTATTAATTATTAATTTCAATTAAATAAATTAAATATTTTGTCTTTATCTTATATTTTGCATTAAAAAAAAAACAAAATCAAAGCAAAGCAGCTGAGGAAGATATCAAAATTACGTTCTATATATATAACACAATTAAGTGAAGTCAAATTTGAGGGCAAAATTCCTGATACGTAAAATTAGGTGCTGACTTATGGAACTATTGATAGTTTGTCTTATGGTCTGGCGGTTCTCGTCCACCAGACCTAGCTCTCTTTCTTCCTCCTTCTTCATATATATGCCTATCCTGCTCTGAATCAGACCTCATACCTCATTTCCAATTCAATTCTCAATCTAGGCTTTTTGTAAACATGGAATGCAGGACTCTAGAGATCACTCTAATCTTTGCCAAGGACCTCGAGGATGTCAATGTTGACTCCAAGATGGACGTTGACGCCGTCGTCATCATCAACGACGACCCACAAACCAAACAGAAGATCCCCGTCGACAAGGACTGCGGTTCCAACCCCAAGTGGAATTACACCATGACATTCACCGCGGAAGAAGCCGCCGCCAACCGGAAACGCCTTGAGCTTGTGATCTGTCTCGTGTCAGATCGTCTCTTTGGCGATATAGTTGCCGGCGAGGTGTTGGTGCCTATCAATGGATTTCTTGATTGCGAAGAGAAGGTTCCCGTTTACGGCGTCAGGTTGCCGAAAGGAATGGTGAAAGGTACATTGAATTTGTGTTGCAAAACCAGTGTTCCTGTTGCTGCGCCGCCGCATGAGACGAAGAAAGCGAAGTCCGCGGAAACGCCTGTGATGCGATATCCTGCTGTCGGGTACAGCGGGGAATACCCACCTCAGCTCCCCGCCGCGTACGCCTACAATTCCCCGCCACAGGGTGTGTACCCACCGCCGCCTCCGCCAAAGGGTGCGTACCCACCCCCACCACCAC